TTAACCTCAACCTGGTTTGTATGCCATTCTAAGACCGTTGATCTGACATCCCCCATTTCTTCAAAAGATCTTTAATTAATAGCAGATATCGGCATTAATCCTCTTTTTCAGAATAAAACATATCTTGCCGAGTTTCTTGGTGTTCTCTATTCAAGAGTTCTTGACGTTCTTCTGTCGTCAGATCCGTTTCAGGTTCCATTATGAGTTCTTCAATGTTCTTTATTTCTCACATGTGATTTTTGTTATTCCTTTAGCTGCTTGAGTCTTCTTGATAATACAGTATCTTTCTTAGATAAGATTGAACTGCGGCCTACTGTAGACCTGTTCAAGCCATACTGTCCAGCAACATCAGACATCTTTTGCGCACTCTCTACCTTTGCTATTATACTCTCACCTTTCGAAAATAAAAACCAACACAAAACTTAATGAGTGCCTGCCTGACAGTCTCGCGAATACTATAAAAGAATTGTTTGTCAGAAAAATAAAAGGTTGGAATTACAAGGGAGTATTTCAAAGTTCGAGGGATACTATCTAATCAGTATATTATCAGGTTGAGCGTCGACGTTGAGGTCTCCCGCGCTCCAAAAAGTTACCTGAAAACAAAGGAAAATCAGTCGGTATTTGCTATTTTCGTCGCTTCTTTTTATGTCTGTTCAGTGAAATGTTCGTTATCCGATCATGTGTTCGTTGTCCGATCATAAAAATCTTTCGCGAAAGTGTTCGTTAACCGATCACCCACTGTATATTCTTAATTTTCCAAATTTATTTCTGTCTATGTTTGGTATGTCTTCTATCTCTATGAGAATATTTGCTTACATAATAAGGAAAGAACTCTGATTATAGATAGAAGATACGTCACTTCTTATACATTTAATTCTTTTGTTCTATTTAATCTTACATTCCAAGTTAACTTGTTTATGCCATTTTTATCTTCTTCCTTCCTCAGTATTTCTAGTTCTAACCCTTTTAGCCATTCGGTTTACATATCTCTTTTATATTTCTAGTTTTATACAAATTAAATTGCCAGATAGTTATGCCCTTATGTTAAACCTGTTTCACAATTGTCGAGAAAGCGGAATCCGCGCGATTCAAAAGGCCACATTTTGGCGGAATTGTCCGCGTGGTTTTTACTTTCCGCTTACCATTTACAATCAAATAGCGGATTCTTTAATAGTGTTTTTATTAGTTAAAATATACGGTGACTGACTGGTTAATATTGCTATTTTATTCACCCGCATCACGTGCCTGAAAATTACATATTGTTTGTGCTGCTCTTGATAATTAGTTAATACTATATTTAGACGCACCTATTGTTACGACTCTTCCACTCTGACGTATTGCTGACATTTTCCGACGTCACGAGAAAGATCACTTTTAATTTTGACGCAAATATCGACTCTTCTCTTTTCTAAGTTGTTACGACTCCTAATTATTCGTTCTTATCTATCCAAAAATACAGACGAAAATACAGCCTTTATTACTGACTTTCAATTAAATATCTTTCATTCATTCAAAACATATTTAAATTAAAACAACGTTCTTCTATTAAATAATAGCCTAAATATAAATTGAAATAAATTATGATGTAAATTACGTACATTTAATTGATGTAAAATGAACAATAAACTACTCAATTTGCAAGGAACAATATGAGTAAAACTGTGGAAAATTATAATAAAATTGATAAAATTTAATTTAATTTTTATATAAATAAAATACAGTAATTATTTTTTTTAATTGTTTACATAAATGGAAGCAGGGTAAAGTGATCAAGCCCTACTATTTCCCTCCCTAATGCTCCAATCTAGTGACGAATGTCTAAGTTATTTGCGTGAACAATAGTACTGTATGTATATATCTAGATGCTGCTCTCTATGCTATACTTATTTATTAATATATCCTCGAAAGTATTTGTTCTAGGCTTTAAATCAATGTATTATATTATTATGTAGTTGTACTGATTTGGATTTAAAAGCATGTGTAAAATGGCTTCCAAGAGGGCAAAGTATCCAGGCATTTTATCTTCCAAAACGAAGCGGTCTTTTATGAATGATGTAGTGTTACAGGATGTTTACATTGCAGAGAATCTTACTTGCGTTCTAAATCCAATAAGGAATGGCTCAAATGGCTATCTTCTTTTGGCACACGAGGTGTTCTTGATATAAAGACGACCATGACTTTATATGCAAAGATTCTTATTTCAAATTGTCTAAAAAATAATTCAAGTGTATATCTTGTGACTAATTATTTATATTATTTTGTGAATAATTAAAAATATATACTACTTCTGTTCGTAATTGCGTTGTGAACCCATTCGCTTGTGTCGGGTAAAGTGGCCATTTTGCAAAACTACAAGTAAAATAAAAGAAGAGATGAAAATATGACATAATATTGAATAAATAATATTGTTTACTATTTTTGTATTAAGTATACTAAATAATGACAAAATATCACTTATTTACCCGTATAGAAAATAATCTAAAAATGCATTTACCTTAGAGTCACTTTACCCTGTCTTTCCCTATTTATGTATTATATATACGAAAGATATTTTTGATTATTTTTACAGTAATAGCAAATTTAAATTTTGATCTTTACTCATAATTTATTTTTAACTAGAATAATCGTTAGCATGATATGACTATAAAACAAATTTAAGAGTATTTTATGGTTTTTTTAATAGATAATAGCGAGATTGCAGCCGAAGTTTTCATCTTTAAAACGCAAAACGCGAACGTCGAACGTCGAGCGCCGCTTACAATATAGCGGCACTCGACGTTCGACGTTCACGTTTTACAGATGAAAACTTCGGCCGCAACCTCTCTAATACTTTATTTATTAGAACTTATAGTGTATTTTTATTTATCCTGTTTCTATTTTGAACACGTGGAATATTTTCCCGTAAATAATTTAGTGAAATTATCTTTAACACGAATTTTATTTAGGATTTTTAAAGAGTAAACGGATGGATGGATAAATAAATTTATTATCCAGATATTAAATTTTTATGGCATTTAGAGTTTTATCAAAATTATTTTGTACAAACGAGCTCTTCACATGAATGAATATTATTATGTAAACAATTTATACCGTTAACTTATAGTATAAACACTTTTTGTTTTAACATATTTTCTAGTTTTATATGACTGTCGCGATTGTTTACTTATAACAGAGCAATAAAATATTTTAAATATGAATAAAACAATTTTTTAATATTATTAGTTTTAAAAAAAAATTATTAATCATTATTAATTTGTTCTCGAAGAAAGTGTATATTTTTATTTTAGTTATAACAAATTGCTCGTGTTAAAGTAACTATATTATAGGATTTTTAGACATTAAATTGAGTTGGTAATATTGCTGATTTAGAGAATTAAAAAATTAAAATATAGGTATTTTTTTTTTGAATATTTTAAATGTATTTTACCATTATTACTTTTTCCCTCGCGTATTCTATAGAAATAAAATGTATCGAAAACTAGTTTGGTTAGAATAGTGCAAAATTTAACGTCAATTTAACATCGTATCTTCACTTTTCAATGAGAAATTCCGAAGAATGATATAAAACAAGCAATTATTTATTGTAATGCCGGGTTGCAATTTTTTAATCATATTTTTAATTTATTTAATTTAAAATATATGCTCTCCGTTTCAAATTAATAGTGGCTTGCCCCTGTACATCATACTTTACCCTGTTAGCAATAGAATCGTGCCGGTCATCTAACACCTTTCGGGGGAATTTTTTGAATTGAAATAACGTGACTTCTGTTTTTACATTCATGTATAGTTAATCGGGACCTTCTGTCCCTAAGATTTCCATATCTGGTCTCGGTTTTTGTCTATCTAACTCCACTCTCGAGATTAAGAAAGGACAGACGGACGGACGGACGACAGTGGGAATTTATAGGTCTATAATAAATAACAATGTGTTTTTTACCAAATTAATTTTTAACATTTTATAATTTATCGTTTTTTTCTCATTTTAACGCATAAATTCATTCTACAATACGCATTTCTTTCTACAGTATAAAACGTAATAATAGTTAAACGATAATAATAAATTTCTTAGCAAGACATCTGTAATAATTTGTTCTTACTTAAATAAGAAAGTGAAATGTCCGAAAAACACTTTATTAGTAAAAAGAAAAAGAGAGAAAACGAAAGAATAAGAAGAGAATTGGAATCTGAAGGTATGAAACAGTTAAGACTTAGACAATATGAATTAGCCCTTCCAAGTTTCAACAAGGTAAACTTTTATATTGTAATTCTTTTAAACGTAAAGTATAAAATAATAAATATATTTTACATTTAACTACATTTACTCACATAGTTAATTAATAGATAAATTTTAATTACTCTTCGAAAAAACTTCACTTTTTTCTTTATGTTTATTATGAAAAATTGCACTTGACTACGGATGCTAAATAGGCTAGATTTTCTGGTTTATGTCTCTTCGAAAGCTTTAAAAATAAATAAATAAATAAAATTTAAAAAGGAAAAAAAATGGTTTCGTAATAGATAAAAATAGCAATGTTTTTAAAGATAAATATTAAAATTATAAGACTGTTATTCAATTTTCTATATAGGAAATATTACGATCGTTATTAACTACGATTGGGTGGAATAATTCGAATAATTTCTCTGGTTTTGAATTATTCCGAAAAAAAAAAAAAAAAACAATTACTAAAATTTACTATTTTAAGTTGTAATAAATGATAACAGATGGCACTACGATACAAGGTATTTAAACTTTGTTACCCGGCAACCGAAACACAAGAGTTTTGTTTTTGTAAACACGAACAGATGCTTTGTATATTAGTAGTGTATATTAAATGTAGATGCCGTATAGAAATCGAGAGTTTCCAAGCTAGAAAAAAAGGAAACAACGAAGGTCGAGCAGGAGCAGTTGTCTGGGATAGTAAAGATAAAGAAATGAAGTCGGTATGTGGTTTAAAAAAAAAAAAAAAACAAATAAAGGTATATTGCAAATAGTTAAAGCAGAAGTTACAATTTATAAATGGCAAAGAATTAGGTAAATAAAAGGCGGAAAAAGACAATAATGCAACAAATTGTTTTCGTGCCATAAAAAAAAAATGATGTCAATTTTATTTAAATTCCGACGTTATTGGACCTTGCAAATATTTTATAAATTAAATTTTGCATATTTTTACGAATAAAAGAACTATATTTTCATTTTTATCGATACAAAACGAGAAAAAAGTAAATAACGTTTTTGGTAATTATAAATAGAAATTTTAATTATAATAATAAGAAAGATGTGTATCGAGAAATTTTCATGGGCAAACAAATCCAAACTCGCCTTGTCTTCATGCTCTGTGTTCATTGTTGAATGTTTAACCATGCGTGTCCATTCTCGTACCTGTAGATCTTTCACATCATCTTGATCTTGAGAGTTGTCTGCCATGACCAAGCGTGCTGGAATGTTCATATTTCTTTTTTTGTTTCTTTCGTGGAACAATAATTATATTAAAGAAATTATAATGAGACTCACTAATCTTTTTTTTTTCTGTTTTTAATTTGTTGTAATTGCTCGATAATATTTTGAAATGCTTATGACATTGAATTTTTATTAATAGATCTACCAATATATTTATGTAATATTCGTTTTAATAGGCTTTACAATTAGTTCCGAAAAATGTGAAATGTTTAACTTATCGCTCGAAATGTCATCTTTTATTGGGAATAAATGAAGAAGCTCTGAAAGATATCGAAGAAGCTATGAAAAATGATCCTAATAACATCGATGTAAGAATTTTTATTTATTTATTTATTATTATTTTTTTTATAGACGTAACATTAAATTGCATTATTACCTTGTTCTATTTTCATTTACTGACAATGGATGTATAGTTGTACCTATATTTATTCAATTTAATTACCTGTTTCATCAGCGATATAGATAAACTTTTATAAAATGATAAGATATAAATAGAACACTTTTAGATGGGAAAATATGTAACATTCTTATTTATAAAATAAAAAAAAAATTATATTACAGTTGGCTGATATAATTAAGTTTATAAAATTAAAATAAAGGAGTTTTTCAATGATAAATAAGCTCTCAATAAACAAATCTATTCGCCATATTTTAAACAAATGTAAAAAAAAAATGGTGTCTTTAACCACCGTATTATTATTTTAATACATAAATAAATGAGCAAATCAGACATAATACTTACTGTAATTGCTTTATTTAAGATGCTTTTGAATAATTATTTAAAACATTGAATATGATTAACAAATAAAGGGAGATAAATAGAATATTTTATTGCCAATGAGAATAAATACAATAAGAAGAATAGTCTATCAAATAAATTTTATGGACATGTGCTTAATAGATGTATGAGCCCATATTAATAGTAATTATAGGCGCATACATTAACTAAGCACATATCCATACAATTTAAAACATATATTAATTAATTAATTTGAATGCATTTTCTATAATGAATAATTTAATGGGATTTTATCGAATAGCCTGTCTTTATTTATTTGTTTATTTATTAGTCGATTAAGCAAATAGCCGAAACTCTTTATTTGCTCGGCGATTTCGAACATGCTCTGGTGTATTTTCAACGTGGTTATCAATTGAGATCAAATTACGACGTCTTCAAATTCGGCATTCAGAAGTGTCAGGAAGCCATCAACAACGCAATTGGAGGTAAAATGCATTGTTTGTCATTCATCCATCAAAACAATTTACAAGATATTATAATTGACATTCAAACAATATACGATAAATGTAACAATTCGTGTTTATACAGTATAATAAAAAGTTATATATTTTTATTTATAGTCCTTATGTAATTCCACGTTTCAATAGTCCTGTATAGGCTACTGTATATAATACAGTATAACGAATTTTTATTTAATAACTATTTAAATTTTTAGCTTAATTTTTACAATGATCATTACATTTAGTAATAAATAAATGTGTTTTTATTTTCAGCTTATGCGCCGTTTGAATTAACTGAGGTAAATTATTATTAGTTTAAGATTAACAGCTAAATATTTAAGTTTGAAAAGAATTAGTTTTGCTAGTTTAAAATTTTAATTTTTCTAAAATATCTTAAATTTAGTTATTACAGAGTTTGCTGCCGAAGTTTTCATCTATAAAACGTGAACGTCGAACGTCGAGCATCGCTTAGAAGATAGCGGCGCTCGACGTTTGACGTTCACGTTTTACAGATGAAAACTTCGGCCGCAAACTCTCTATTATGTATATTATTATTATTATTATTTTCAATAGAATATTATTAAATTTATATGATTGCAGCCTAATACATCCGAAAAGATTATATCGACAAAACCATCCACCGACATCTTTAATCAATCATCCGATCTAACAGTAAATAAGAAATTAGATAAAAAATACGAAAATATATCTAGACTAACATTAGAAAAATCTGACGAAGATCGCAAATATCTAAATGCATTACTATCGAGCAAAGGTGAGCGATTTGTTATTTTGTCGTCAAATTTTTATATAATTTAAAATTTTCATTTCGACTTTACTAGAATTATTAATAAATAAAACAAGTTATAAAAATATCTGCCGCATTAAAAGTATTATCAAAGATACTTTAAAATATCTCAAGACTAGAGAAGAATTCTGGACGAAACAACAACCGATTTATTCTCGAGAAACAGGAGGAGGAACGTTAAGAACATTCGAATCGAAAAGAACCGAATATTTCATTCCAAAGAAAAAGAAATTCGAGACAAAAAAAATGATAAGGGAAGACATGATAAACCTGCTGAAAGAAATCGATAAAAGTAAGATATTAGCGAGGTTGAGGCCGAAGTTTTCATCTTTAAAACGTGAACGTCGAACGTCGAGCGCCGCTATCTTGTAAGTGGCGCTCGACGTTCGACGTTCACGTTTCAGAGATGAAAACTTCGATTGCAACCTCGCTATTTTTAAATCGGTTCGGTTAATTGTCATCATTTCAAATCGTAAAGTTATTCCGACTCGTATAAAGGGGATGGTTACTCCGACTCCTATATATAGTACTTTGAAAAATCGCTAGAATCCTTCGTGTCAGACTTCTTTACCGAGCGGTTTAGCCGACCAAAACAATTGCTCTTATTATTTTGGACGTAGTAAATTATTCTCTTTTTTATTCGAAATCAAACATATAAATTATGTTTCGCGAAGTAGCTATTGTTGTGTAACTTCTATTCCAATTAAATGTTCGTATAGTCGATCAAAGCATTCCGAGTAAAAACCTGCAATTAATTTGTCTAAATTAATAATTTACTTTTCAAAAAATTTTATTTTTAGATAATATTTTTCTTAGTGTAAGATTTTACGAAGGATAAAATAAAATTATCGAATAAAAGTAAATTTCCTTTCAGGTTTGAATCGGGGTTGCTATCGTGTTACGTTGAATAAATGTAAAGAAGTATTGAAAGCATTTAACACTTATTACGGACGAAAACTGGAGAATAAAAACGAGATTACCGCGGCAGTATTTAGTCAAATGGGAATCGCTCATTTAGAATTACAGAATTTTAGCGCCGCTATAAGTTGCTTTCAAAAAGATCTGAATATCGTTTCGGAGAGGTAAGCTTTATTCGGTTGATTTAATAAATAATAATTCTTTTATTTGCTAATTTAATCATTTATTACAGCAATCTTACTTATGCAAAATCCATTGCTTTAGAAAATTTAGGAAGAGCGTACGCAGCATCGAAGGATTATAATAATGCTATCGAAACGTAAATATTTCCAATTTTATGTGCATTTAACCATTAAATACTATTTTGTATTCGGTTTATATTTATAGTAGACCCCCATAACACTAGATAATTCCGTGTTATATGAAATCCATGTTGTACGAGTCACTTAGATTTTACAAATACGTATGCCAGGCTGTGAATGGATCACGTATTTGTAAAATCTAAGTGACTCGTACAACATGGAATTCATATAACACGGAATTATTTACAGTGTTATAGGGGAGTCTACTGTAGTTTATTATATTCGTGAATACAATTCCAATCGTTATCCTCTGATATGTAATGTTAATTGATATTTCGTAGAAAGAATCGAAACTGTAGTAACTTATCCTATTTATTATGTTTTATTCAAATAAATGCGGTAAATTATAATATCGTGTTTTATATCCGAAAAAGACATTATTTTACAACTAATATATATGAAATTAATTATTTATGAACACAGTTCGGGTCGCTGTTCATGATTAAAAGCATTTCATTAACAATAATTATGGACAGTGTTTCGTAATAAAAAATCTTATAGACTTGTTCAAATATTTGAATTTATTCATAATAGTTTGTCAGACAAGGACATTAATAAACGTATTTTTAGAGAAAGAGACTCAAAATTAGTTTTATAAATGTTATACATAGCTTTGTTATAGGCCTATATAAAATAGAATCCACATTATTAAATATGGATCTACTTTGCTAATAGAAACACTTGTTACTTTTATTAATTTGGATTGATAACGTTTTAAAATATTGTATAAAAAGTTTATAAATGTTAACGAGTAAAATCTTCATTAAGTCGTCTCCACTCGAATTATGATATATAATACCTTGTATCTCCTCACCCCATCGACCTTTAATTACCAAAATTTAATCGTATCAATCCTCCACATACACAAACCTCCCTGCAAAATATCAGAAATTTTCGACAAAAAAACACAGGGGTTATTAAGCTTCAAATACGGTGAACAAAATCGTGCCCCACATAAACATGCACTAACAACTATACATACAGTTAAAAAAAACCCGAATATTTTTATCGATTGCCATACTTTTCATCATATAAAACAGCCGGGAAAGTAATAAAATTCGAGTTCAGAAAATAATAATAAATAAACAAGATTTATTTATTGAATATGGTTCCATTTCTGGTGTTGTTATAACGAACAAATACAAGTAAAAACTGCTTAGGGGCAACCACCTGCATTCGACGGGCACCTTTCAAAACGGGCGAAAATTTCTGGCACGGAATAGTTTATCCATAGAGTCTTCGTATAAGTTACCTGTATTAAAAGACCACCTGTGTAATGCGACCGCGGGCATCGATTTTTTGTCCGAAACAACATACAACACTTGTAATAAGCGACCACTTTCGCGAATGTATCTGGTCTAAACTATTGTAAGAACCCATCTCAACAACGTTTCCACCTCCTAATATAATGAATTAGTCTAAACTCTCGTTCGAACCCATCCCGGGCACTTTTCCTACCCTTGAAATTAGGTACAGGTGTTAATAAATTAGTCTAGCAACAAAGGAAATTCATTTCAGTTTCTTGGAAAATGTCCGAAATGCAAAGTGCTGTCGTTAGAAGATCGTATTAAAGTAATCACAACAGCAATTAGCGGCGAAGTTTAACTGTGGAAAACGAAATTTATTTTACCGTAGACCTACAGTATTTTCCTTGGGGGTATAAAATATTGGTATTTTCCTTGGGGGTTTCTATATCAACCTACCTTATTTCCTCGATATTTTAAGGAAAATAACATCCAAGTCATTTTCGCGTTGAATTAATTAAGCCGGAAAAAAGAATGTGTGCATTATAATCGAGAAAATGTGACTATTGTATTATTAATCTTTAAAATATTGGTATTAAATCTGTCTTATAAAATCACGACAAACTCCTGTAAATCGAGTTATCCGATAAGAATAAAATACAATACCAATATAGCCATGTCGTTGAAAAAATTCGCTTTTATTTGCTCACCTCGAATTTTTCTTAGTAGAAATGGATAAAAAGTGCGCAAAATATGTACGGAAATACAGTATTACAGCACCACCTGTATTGGACCTGTCTAAAAGACCATTTTTTGAAGGAACCGTGGGTGGTCGCCATAGACAGGTTTTACTGTATAAAGAAATGTTTATAATTACTCGTACCTATATTTGCATTTATTATATTCCAGCTGGATATAATATGGAAATAATTAATAAAAAACAGATCAGGATTAGATATTAATTATTTTTCTCTAAATCTAATTTAATATTACTAATCACGATAGAAATTTGTAAGCATTTCATAGAAATTTAAGTTTAATCATGTTTTAACGTTCACTGCAATTATTTAATTAAGTTAAACGTGTTTGCATATAAGAATTAAATACATCTGCTAAACTGTGTTTAGTATAACAGTAGGAACAATAATTGTTTTTGTCAAATTCGCCATTGTTTTTTTCAATCAACGGTGTTAAAATGCTGTCGAGAAACTATTTAAAGATATATTTTCATGTCTAAATATGAGGAAAATTAACACCTCTCTACAATAGTGTAAAGACAATAAATATTTTTACTTGCCTATCTTAAGCGGTTATATTATAATATCTGAATGGTACTGTTCTTTTAGCACTTTCTATTTGTTTTTATAACAGGATATATTACATTTCAACAAAAGTGATTAAATCATTTGGAATTTATTACGATAATGAAATTATCTAACTGTGTCTATTTAAATATTCTTATCTCTTTCAATAAAATTTCCATATTTAAGCAAATGAATGACTCAGATCCTAGTCTTCCATCTAATATAAACACGTAAATATTAATCACGATGCTCGACGACATATAATATGATTAACTATTTCCTCACCTAAAATAAAATATATTTTGTCTGTGTTGATCTTGATTTTGCTGAGTTTGCTTTGTGTATCGAAAAGAAATATACTAGATTACAAGTAGATTCTAAATGAGCGATAACTCAACGAGTTGTATGACTTTCCCGGCAAGAGTTAAAATTGTGTATGGTGCTATCTGTTGAGATTTTATTAATTTTTATTTTTTACATTATTAATTTTGCTATTTTCAATCGTCGTTCTAGAGAAGAAAAAGTGCTTTTTCGATAATATCGACGGTGGAAATTTGTTTTGAACTTGTTTATCTCAATAAGACATTTCCTGGAAGAAATGATCAAAGATACAAAACTCTTATGCTATTAATTATTTAGTTTACATTTAAAATACCGGAAATGAAGTATGAATAAATCCAATAAAAATAAAATGTTAATGTAAGCAGAATTTAAAAAAAACATTAAGCATTCGTATGATAGATACAAGTAGCTTACAGTACATCATACTAAGTAAAAAAACCTTAGAAAACGTACATAAAAAACGCAATCATTTCTGAGATAATCCGGTAAAGATTTGAGAGAGATTCTGCGATTCTGTAAGATGCTAAACGTGCATAGAAACAGAAAGAAGACACGTGAAATACCTATCAATATCGAGATGAAGATTTAGCATGAATATCTTCTCTTTTCACGTGGCATGCGACATGTAGAAACCAACGTAGAAGACTGTTCATGATATTAATATATAAATCATGGTAATCAATAATGATACTAACAAATAAAATTGTTAATTCGGAGAAACTAAATGTTATTATTTATATATATAACACACTTATACTTGTGTACTCACAATCAATTTATTGGGCAGTCAGATCCAGGCGCTAGGACCTATTTAATTTTTACTATTCCGGTTGTTATACATAACAGAGGGAAAGTATGGCAATCTGTCAAAAAAAATGACCCTTCAAGATTTTTACATTTTTGAACTCAGGAGATCTTGAAATGAAAAAAAATTAGGGTTTTTTTTGCATGTTAGTGTGTCTAGTCTGTGTTATGGGGGACGATTTTGCTCACCCACTTTGAAGTTTAATAACTCCTGTATGCTTTTTGTCGAAAATTTCTGAAATTTTACAGAGAGGCTTGTGTATTATGGGATTGATTCTATTAAATTTTGGTAGTTAAAGGTCGACGGGACAGCAGCCAGACAATCCTTTATTATGAACGATCCAACCAACAACACCACATAGTTTGTCTTTTAATTTGTTGGACTTGAAATATTTTAATTATAAAAGATAAATTATATTATCATTAACAATTTTATTATATAAAATTTTATTGTACAACGACAGAAATGATGGAAATTGCATGTAAATTCTTCATACAGACCTAAAATTGTATGAAGAATTTACATGCAATTTCAATATTTTAGAAACAGTAGTAACTAATAGTATATTTCATTTGACATTTAAGTTTCAATTAGATGTGAATACTATTAAAAATTAGGAAAAAATATCGATATTTTTAATAAAATTTCAACATTAAAAATGAATATTTTTTGGAAAAATCTTATACAAGTAATAATTATTTCACAAGTTATTGCATTAGGATGAAATACCGCAATTAAATAAAATGTGTATTTTTCTCAATAAATAATTCGCCAATCTTATATTTTAGTAGGATTAAAAATATACAGTAAAATATCCTTTCACTTGAGAAGTATTTTTTGTGATTGGTAGAACTAAAGGAAAGATTTTTTGAATTAAAACAATGATATGGTGAAATTGGGTCATGACATTACCTAACTCATTCCAAAGAGCATTTCAAACTACTGTATTAAGTAATTGTTGTAACTATAAACGTATTTGCAATTTTTACCGATAGAGAAAAAATGATGTTAGAAAATGTTTCGAGAATAATAATGGATATAATCATTCAGGAAATGATATCGGAATTGGATGGGAAAAAAGTCCTCAGTTGGAGTTGGTGTCCTTTTTTTTTACCTCTCATCCAGTTATTTTGATATATTACCAAGTATAATTATTGGTATCCATTCCTCCTATGCTACTGTGTACCCCTAATATAATAGTCTTGGCAATTTTTCATCTTGGTTTTTATATTCTTTTATTGCATAGGCTCGACGATAAAAAC